TAGTTGGCATCCCCTATTACATCCATCTCCATATAAATTAAGTTTTTTAATGTGCAATAAAAAGATGTTTATATATTTAACTTATTAAACATAATTAATTTAAAAGTTAGTACATAACTAAAGCAATAAATAAATAAATAAATAAAGTAATCTTAAAGTAATTTTGATTTAGAAACCAAACTAATAGACCTCTACTCTTTTATCTTTTACATTGGCTCACTCTGCCTTTTTTTCTCATTCCTAGCCGGCCTTTTTGGTTTATTATGCCCATCGGCATCTTAGCATCTATAGGAAGGCCTTAACAAAGAAATGATTTTGTTTATCCATAATAAAAAATCTCATTTGTATTTTCTTCTTATCTTAATAATTATTTAATTATGATTTATCTTGCAAACTAAAAATTAAAGTTTCTAATAATTTTTTTTTTAAAATTTTGAGACCATATAGTTGATGTTCTATCGCTCTTAAGCTTTACTTGATTGTTGTTACGCGAGTTCAAAATTTTTCTTACAAATCTAATTTAGATGAGCTATTCTTATATTGAGAATTATTTTTTGTTTCTCCCAAAATTTTCATATTAATTTTTTGTTTTCGGTCTCATATATAAGCTTCTATTGGGATAACTTTTTTATCATTTTAAAGCAATTTTTTTTAAAAAAAAAAATTGTACGAAAGATACGTAACTGCTCAAACAACAATAACGATAATAATTGTTGCGTCCTAAAAAAATCATGGTGGTAGAGAGATGGAGTTTAGTGTTATAAATTTGTACAAAGATTCAACACACAAACAAATAAAGAGAAGGGGTGCAAGAGTCTTAATTAAGAGACTAAGATTTTTAGGTGAAAACCCCTAAAAAGGGGAAAAATAACATAGGGTTAGGCTCAATTAAAATGATTCTACTTATGTTTGTAGTCAATTACAATTGATGCCCTTTCGCGGGGGGAGGCCATTAGCTCAATGTTTCATATATAGCACATTACATGGTAGGATTGGAAGAATCTATGATAAGGGAGTCATTCTCAAGATAATGTTGTCCAATTTATTTGGATGGTAGGGTTGTATTTGGACAATCGAGATCAGAGGGACTATACTCAGAGTGCAATGGTAGTCGGAGGGACTGTAGTCGTTGGGCAACGGTGGTCCAAGGGACCATAGTTGGCAGGCAATGAAGGTCGGAGGCTAACTAGGGACCGTAGTCGGCAGGCGAACAATGGTTCGATATTGGTTTAGCAAAAGTCCGACAGTGGTCGACAGCCGGTGAAAGTCCATATGCTATCGATGGACAGAAGGTAGTACAGCTGCTATCAGCGATAATGTCGAATTCTGGCAGCATTCGACAGCTGGGCAATGGTCTGATGACGGTCGATGGAGGTTCGCCGGTGGTGGTGCTGGAGCTTTTGAAGCCTTGGAGCTTTCTCTAATTTATAGTCAAAAGGTCCCCCTTCAAGTAGAGAATGGGGTTCTATTATAGATTTGTTAGAGTGACATGCCCCATAAATATGGAGATGTTATGGGGCAGATTTGGAATGCCCCATCAGACATCCCATGTTAATCCCCTCATTATATAGCATTTTTCAAGTGTTTAGGTTCCTTAACCGATGTCAGAATTCAACGATCTTAGGTTCTTTGGATTCGTCTCGCTAAGCCGCTCGATTCAACTATAAGCATGTCATAATTGGATATCATTTGTTTATCCAATTTAAACTTTGAACCTTCCAAATAAGCTTCAGACCCTCGATTTGAACCCATTTGGGCCCAGATTGAACCAATTTTGGTGTCATTGGGTTCATATCTTTGAGACATTTAGTTTGTTGAAATTGGAGTTCAGATAATCCTGAATTTAATTTTGAAAATTTCCAACTTGAATTTGCCTCAAGATTTGTTCATGATCAAGACAATTTTTTATGGCGTATCAATAATAATAATAATAAATTAACATATGCTGATGCAAATTAGTTCGAAGTTAAAAAAAGTAAGATTTTTTTTTAATTGATGTATATTAAAAATTTATATTGCACTAATCTTAAAATAAATTCATTGACTTTCATGCTCATTCTGATAGAATTTGTATGAGGATATCTTGACAATAATTTGACTTTATATGCCCATAACGCCTAAAATTGGAGCAATATTGTTGTTTCATGTCTTGGGAATATGGCCAAAAAATTAATTTTGAGTGAAGTACATTCATAATTTGCAACGCCATACTTTTTGCCCGACAAATGTCATTCATGACTGATAGTTCCACAATCAAGTTTTTTTTTTCTTTGGAACGGGGTAATCGGCCAGCTGTCACGTCATCTTGTAACTCGTTTGACAATGTCCACTAATTTCTCAGCGAGTCTACCAGCAACCAACCCCATAAGAGCAGGACCCACAATTCTTTTCTCTCAACTTAAGGAATCGT